CTGGGGGGTGGGGGGGGGTGTCAATTAGCCGAGGGTAATTAGTCCGCTCCTGCCGACCTAAGCGGGTCGAAGGCAGGGACCGGCAAGGAGAGCAACAGGGACCGCCTCGGCGGGAGGCGTAACAGCGCTGGCCGCCCCGTGACCACGGAGACGTCTTCGGACAGCGCTGGCTCTTCGGCTGGGGAGCGGAGACGAGCACCGCGCCCCTAGAGTCGGGATTGCGCCGGCTCTCGAGCAAGGGAATCCAAATTAGTGAGTGGTTGGTGAAAAGTACTGAGACTTACTAGTGATTTCAGCGCCGCTCATACTTTATTTCCGCTCAGAACAAGACAAGCTACCCAGCTCGCAGGCTGGTTTATATGTGCAACAGCCCCGCACCCAAAACACACCCACACCCAAGTGATTGGGTATTTACAGTGGCCGAGAGTTCCATAGGCTCTCAGGAGCCGGCTAGGATCCACTTGTCCCATTGTTACTGTGAGCAAAGCTCGGCAACTTCACGTGGCTGCGTGGGGAAATGGCCACCCTCCTGGTCTGAGATGGATACATTACAGTCGGCCTTTCGCTTGGCTAGATCTGAATGCCCACGTCATGATGTTTTACTCATTCCCTGGCCATTTGACCAATGCTCCCTCTAAGCTGTGGAGTCCTGTGAGCAAAAATTCTACTGTGTGAGCTACTGGCATGAAAGTAGTGAGCGAGCGATTTGGCTGCTGCATAAAATAGTTTGCTCTGGAGCCCTCCTTCCTGAGCTAAGACAGAAATGTGTGAGCCAGAGGCTAAAAAACTGTGAGCTGGCTCACACTCAGCTTAGAGGGAACACTGCTTTTGACCCAGCTGTCTTTTGCCCTCTTCCTCTTACGGTAGACGGGTTGTGTAAGGGAGGATGTGCTCATTCCCTGTGAAGAAGTAGTCCAAGAAGGTTTATACGGAAATAAAACTTGGTTGGTGTTCAAGGTGTCGCCATACTTCTGTTTGTTTTTGTCGCAACAGACAAATACCGCTACCACTCTACTTATTTATTTATTCACTTGATTTTATACCCCTCCCTCCCTGCCTAGGCAGGCTCAGGGTGGCTTACAAAAAAGTAGTTACATAAATACAATTAAAATCACTCATAAAAACACGCTGATTGTAAAAACATGGCTACGTTAATTGATATTCCTGGAACAGAGTCATTTAAAAGATGGTGCTCTTTTAAAGCCAGTTTTTAAGAGCCAGTTTGGTTTGGTGTCATGGTTAAGTGCGCGGACTCTAATCTGGGAGAACCGGGTTTGATTCCCCCTCCTCCACTTGCACCTGGCAGGATGACCTTGGCCAAGCGGTAGTTCTGACAAGAGCTGTCCTTGAAAAAGAGCCGTTTCTGTCAGAGCTCTCTCAGCCCCACCTGCCTCCCAGGTTGTCTGTCTGTTGTGGGGAGGAGGAGGGAAAGGAGTTTGTAAGCCTCTCTGAGACTCCTTTGGGTAGTGACGGGTGGGGTATAAATGCAATCTCCTACTCCTCTTCTTCTTCTTTTACCTCACAGGGTGTCTGTTGTGGGGAGGGGGAGGGAAAGGAGTTTGTAAGCCGCTTTGAGACACCTTTGGGTAGTGACGGGCCGGAGGGTATAAGTCCAATCTCCTCTTCTCTTCTTCTAAGGCATCAGGAAGGTTCGTCAGGATTTAAATATTTAGCACGTAAAACCACATAAAATTGACAATGCAAACCAATATGTGAAACAGTTTCAGTACATCCAGAATTGCAATTGGCAAAGTCTATCCGCATATACATGTTATTATATCTCCCATGCAAGATTGCTGATGATATTGCATTGAATCTTGCTAGAGAGGGCTCTGCGCTGTTGCAGTTCTTGTATACCAGATAGATATGGGGCCGTTCGGCCTACCATGAGGGGCATCTCAAAGTTCAGGGGGGAACAAGATTTATTGGCTAAGCTGTAAAGCCTTTGTGTTTCAGTGTCAAGGGCTCTGCACTTAATCATCTGAAAAGCGCCTATAAATGGGAGCATAAACAATGAGTCCAGTGGGATACCCATGGCAATTATTTTATTCTCAGTGTGTGATAGCCAGTTAGACAAGTTTGACTCTGTGAGCATGTGTTGTATAAGGCTCCCTTGGCCTACATTGTAATGTAGACACAGCCAATATTTTACTGTCATAAGCTACGCACCAGATTCCACAGAATTTTTCCCAGTTTGGTGTAGTGGTTAAGTGTGCGGACTCTAATCTGGGAGAACTGGGTTTGATTCCCCACTCCTCCACTTGCACCTGGCTGGATGACCTTGGGTCAGTCACAAGCTCTGGCACAGCTGTCCTTGAAAAAGAGCAGTTTGTGTCAGAGTTCTCTCAGCCCCACCCACCTTACAGGGTGTCTGTTGTGGGGAGGGGAAGGGAGAGGAGTTTGTAAGCCGCTCTGAGACGCCAAGTGAAGGGCGGGGTATAAATCCAATCTCTTCTCTTTATCTTTCGGATAAATTTAGATTGAACACGTTTGATGGAGCCATTAAGTGCACTTATCCATATTGGAATAGCATACATGAGTTGTGCACTTTGCAATTACTTTGGCCTTAAAGACTTAATGCAGCTGGTATGAATTGGTTGCCTCTGGTGTAGAAGAATCGGGAAATGGTGGAGGCACTGACATTAGCCTTGTTTATTACGGCGTTTCGCTGCACAGACCAAGATGCATTATATTGGAAGGGCAGACCTAAGTAACCTAACCTTTTGTGTATTGCATTTGTTGCTAACTATTTTTCAGCTGGTGACTGAATCTTGTAATATTTCTGGAGTATGATTTCAGTTTCTATGTATGTATGTGATCAAGTAGCAGGGGTATGCACATTAAGAAAGCAGCAGTAAGGGGGAACTAGCATTGCTATTTGTTTGATTTATATCCCACTTTCTTTCCCAGTGGGGGCCCAAAATAGTTGTCAGATTCAGGATTTCGTTTGCCAGATCAATGTTTTCTGGGATGCTTTCGCTTTGCGACAGATGACTGACCAGTGCGATTGGACCAAGGCATTAGAAGATACTTTGAAATGGGTATAATAATGGGCTTGGCACCAAAGCCAGCCAGTTCTGACACAAGATAGTTTACACCTGTAACAGTTGCATATCTCAATAAACAAATGTTTCACCTGAAGAGTGTTGTTGGGGGTGAGTATGTCTGACAATAGTTTTTCATCATTCTCCCCTTCTCTGTTTTATCCTCACAACAACACTGTGAGGTAGGCTAGTCTGAGAATGTGGGAGTGGCCAAGGTCACCAAACAAGTTCCACGCCAGATCGGGGATCCAAATCTGCCTCTCTAATCCAGTTTGCTTGTTCTTCTCATGTCACGTGCATGTTTCCAGAGCACTAAAGCAAGGGAAAGAAATTGGCAATGGTGTACTTGTTTAGTATTGGTTTGTGTATTAGGCAGTGCTGCAGGGTTTGCATACAACCCCCCCCCCCTAACTCTTTTGAGGCAGTGGGCACCTTTGGAATTCTGACACAGAGTGGTGGGTGCAACCACAAGATGGCTGCGACAGGAGGTGAAGCCACACGCACAGAGGAAGCCCAAGTGCAGGGGAGAAGAGGGCTTATTTAAAATGTACACTGGGAAAGAGGGTGAGAGAAAATTCAATCAGTACTGTGGTGGCAGCTGCCACTGGAACAGTGTTGTTTTAATCTGCCCAGCCAATCAATATGCCCACTGGGCAAGAGCGGTGTGTAAGGTGGAGGAGTATGACAAGCTTCATGTAATGTTGCCCCAAGACATTGTTGCAACTGCATGCACACGTTTATGAGTGTGGCTCTCTGGAGGCAGTTGCTTGTTGTAACGGTGAGTCGGGTTTCAGAGGGCAGCCATCTTGGTCTGTAGTCAGACAGATTTGAGTTCTGTAGCCCCTTAGAGACCAACAAGAGTACCAGGGTACGAGGTTTCAAGAGTCAAGGCTCCTTTCGTCAGCTAGTCAAGTGACTGCTAAGTTTTGAGACTGGTTGCTACATATTATTACTTAACCTGGAAGAGGTAGAAATCTCAACAAATGCAGTAAAAACATTAGCTATGACTGTAACTGATTAATAAGTGCATGCGTGCAAATACTGCTTTTTTATTACAGAGAAGTTAATTTTTATCCGTAACTGCTGCAGCTGGCAACCTTTGTCATTGTGGAGAAATAGCTTCTCATGGATAATTAAACAGAATCTGATAATTTGCTGGTTGTCCAGTCTCAATTGTTCTCCAACCATTCTTTGTATTTTGGGACTTGGCTGACCAGCAGTCCCAGAGGACAAAGGTCTGGATTTAGTGCTTGTATATACTGATGAGGGGTTTCATATGTTAAGGCAATCACAACAAGAAGCTGTGCAAGTGTCACGCCCACTGTAGGGACCTGATTTTATTTATTTAATTCGATTTGTAACTCACCCTCCCCACAAGCAGGCTCAGGGCAGGTTCCATCATAAAATTCACAGTATAGCAAATTGACAGTTAAAATATATCTAAAAATCTATCTAAAACAGCAATCAATATAAAAAGACTGGTGCCTCAACAGATCTCAGCAAGAAACAGTTGGTTCCCATGTGGCTGTTTGGATCTGAGTGTCAAGTCCTGGACGCAGTCACTCTCACAAACACTCTTGTAGCAGCAAGATTTGTTTATTAAGAGGTAGAAAGGTTCCAAGCATAGACAGCTTCTGTGTCGGAACTGGGGCCCAGATGGCAGTTCCGTCAGTAAGCTCAAAGCAAGAAATTCCACAAAGGCCAAGCAACCAATCATTGCTCCCATTCAGCCCACCATTCATCTGCCCCTGCCCTTGCGACCTCCCTTAACACCTGCAAGCTAACGGTTGCATTATCTAGAAGCTCCCCAGACTTCAAGGCCACACATAATGTTGAGATCATATACTGTTACGAGCTGATACTAACCAAGCAAAGCAGACAGCCTTTCACATCCACTCCACCCCACCCCCAGTTCCCAGCAGAGATGATAACCAGCAGTGAAGAAGAGCAAGGTTGTGTGTAGGGCTGCCAAGCCGCGGCGGGAGATCCGTGCGTCTTCACAGGATCCCTGCTGTGGGGGACAACGATACGCATTGCACCGCCGTCGCCAGGATGTGACGCTACGTGTCGCTATGGCAACGGGGCTGTTTGGAGTCCCGTTGTCAGAGCAACGCGTAGTGTCACATCCTGGCGATGGCGGTGCAATGCGTATCGCTGTCCCCCGCGGCAGGGATCCTGTGAAGATGCACGGATCCCCCGCCGTGGCTTGGCAGCCCTAGTTGTGTGCAACATAGGAATTGTAAAAGAATACATGTGAATCCATAACACAACCAATGGAATAGTGAAATGTGGGACAGTAACCCCTAATGCAACAGAACATGCGTGTAAGAAAACAGGAAATATTTGGCAAGTGAGGCCCGAGCTTGGCACTGAGGTCACTGGAGGGGAGGCTAATTAGGAGGTGGGCGCCCATTGCCTCAAGTAAAAGCCTGCCGGAAGAGCTCTGTCTTGCAGGCCCCGCGGAACTGTAATAGGTCCCGCAAGGCCCTGATTTCTAATGGGAGCTCATTCCACCAGGTAGGGGCCAGGGCCGAAAAAGCCCTGGCCCTTGCTCAGGCAAGGAACGTGCTTTTCACTTTGGAGGAAGCTTTGAGCTCACTAAGAGAGACTTTTTGCAGCGTTCATTGAAAAATGTGGATAAATATTTTGGCATTTGGCCACCTTGTGCTTGGAAATATCTGTTGAACTCTCTGAGGAAGACACTGAAACAGGAGGATATCTGGACCTCTGCTGGAGGAAGACTGAGCACTTATTAAACATAGACTTACAGGAGTCCTCCCTCATAAAACTTTTGTATAATTAAGGAGGACTGATATTAATAAAGGGGTTGTGCAATATCTTTTGTGATATATTAAGAGACGATACATAGATGTTTTGATATATGATTCTTTCTATGTATTAAGGCTTATATGATAATATATGGTGAATAAATTGTAAAAAATATAAAAATTATTTGAGATATTTTATAATTCTCTGTAGCACGGTAT